CTTGCGAGGGTGGGGACGATAAAGGGTGGGGTAATTTGGGAAGGTTTGACGATCAGCTTGACGATAGTACAGTCACTGCTGAGGCAAGAAGATGGAGACGAGGTGCTTGCTGATGATCGTCGTGTTCCTTTGCGCCGCAATGTCGCTGGCTTGTTGCCAGTCAAATGGAATTTCGTCCAGGACGAGTATCGGTGATGATAACGACGAGATTAGGAGGAGATACGAGGCTGATTACACGGACAGGAGCAACGAGGAGACCATGCTCGAGAATCACGAGACGGACCTGGATTCGGACGATCCGTTCTACGAGCGGATCGTCTCTTACAGGAGCAACAGGGCCATCGATGTTTTCAGGTACAGTAAAGCTCCCGATCATCCGGATTTTGCTCTTCGATTAACCGGCAACCGTCGCGAATCATACCTGCAAGAAGATCGCGGATCGAGGTACGAGTACAACTGCACTTTGCACGGGAAACCGTATCTTGGCTGTAATTACATGCTCACGTAGCAGTCATTCACGCTTGATTATCTTCAGAACCAGACTTTAGACGGGAAAGATTATATTCTTTTTTTTTTATATTATTATTATTAGAAGACATTTTATTGAAAGACTTCCTTTAGTCGTTCTTCTTCTGCGTCCGGCAGGCAGGTGGTAATACATTGATTCGAGACACCGTTCTCTATCCCAACTCTGACAGATTACTGGTCCAGATGTCGTTCGAGTAAAAGCAAAATTTTAAATGATTTAGATTTCGTTGATAATTTTGCGATTAAAGACAAAGTGTAAAGTCATTACGTGTACGCACGATGAGCGCGAACCTCAGAAATTCGAGTGGGATTGAATTGTCAACGAAGCGTAATTATGATAGATGGATCATACAGGCAGTAAAAACAGATAGTTGAGAATACGCAAGAAGGCTTAAACCTATATTTTGCAACGATGAAAGCAACAAGTCATTAGAAGTGGCTGATTGAAAGGCGATGTCCATGTAAGCTTCAGCAAGTTAAAATAAATCAAACGACGCAAAACCGTTACATGAACTATGGGAAGACACTGCGAGATGTGCGTCGAGAAAAACCGCCTCACGAGGAGGCTCACTATTGCGTGGCGAATGGAAAAGATGTTCGTGGACACGTAAATATTTTATGATAATCGTTGATAAATTAGACATGAAATGGACATGACGATTTGTAAAGATTTGCTAAGCGTTAATGCTACCAAGTGGTGATATTTATGCGATACGTGTGAGAATTCCGCCAGACGCAATGGCGATTGAACGAGGATGAAGAAGCAGAAGAGTGAGAGGAGACGAGAGACTTGTAAGCGTAGTAAAAGGTATAAATACTAAAATATTACCGATAAAATGTTCCCAACGTGGCAAGCTAGAGCACAAAACTCCCTAGAGAAGAGACGCTTAACGAGAAGGGATCATAGATCTCGCAGCTAATAAATCACTCGCAACAGATGTTTATGCGAATCTTGCGGAGAGATCAATGACACATGGACCCAGTACATGACAATTGGTGCTTAATGGCTGCGCCACACACTTGTGCAAGGATAAGGAGAAACTTGTTGAATTAATACCCATCATCTAATCGCAGGAAGTTAAACTTAGTGAGTCGTATGTCATGTGTCCGCTGATGTCATCCAAACTTGTTTGAATAATGATATCGAGACATGTAGAATTACTCTATACGCCTGTGATCTGAGAGTAAATTTAGTAAATCTAGTGAATCGATAGAAAAAAGAAAATCGCGGAAACAGGCGGCATAGTAATTTTTTTTTATAAAACGTAAAACCATGGTAAAGGGGGATAAAAATGAAAGATAAAAGTCGGAATCGATGGAGTTGGAAAAGGGAATGTTAAAAAAAAAAAAAATCCCAAAATTTTAATGCGGCGTCTGTTGAAAATTCCGAGCTTTCATAGACGCGGAATTATTTATGACAGCAGTTATAAAAAAAATGTAATAGTCCTCCGAAAAGCGAAACTTTCTGACTTCAAATGACCACAATTCTGAGATGAATGTAGAAAATTTAAAAATTCAAATGCTGGCTTACAAATGGGACTCGATATTTATATAGTGTGTAACTATAAAATGCGATGTATTAAGAGGGGCAGATATTCCATGAAATATATACTATAATCTTCTAAAGCACGATGAAAAGTATTGAATGTAAAGAATTGCTATTATATTTCATCCCTGTGTATCACATTCCTTCTTGAGGCGATAGTTTTCCAATAAAATCAATGTTAACGATAAAGCATGCGCTTCGCTCGCTACTATGCGGCGTGAAATCTCTATAGGTGATTAGGCCTGACGTAGATCGCAACACATTGCCGCGGTAGTAATCTTTTGGAAGAACAAAGATGCAAAATTTTTTTATTTCAAAAAAAAAAAAAAAGAATAAGACATGGTGATTTTCCACAGTATTGAAGATCTTGTGATTTAAATCTACGGTGCGGTTTAAACTCTGTATATTATATACCAGAGAGAAGATACTGTTCATCACAATATACATAGATGATATTATAACAGTATCAAATGATCACGAGTGAATAAAAGATCTGTTGAATTAGGCAAAGATTTTGATATAAAAGATTAAGATCTTAGAAAAACTAGGATATTAATACTAAACAAGATGCGAAAGGGACATACACGTGTCACAGAAGAAATATATTGTAAAAAAGTTCAGAAAGGCTGTCATCCAGTATTCATACACAGTATGGATGAGGATGTAACATTTGAGAAAGATGACAGTATGAAGAAGCCAGAGTAGCCCTAATTGAGAACTAGTCTCTAATCATTAGCTCTGATATCGCTCGTGTAATAAGTGAATTTAATATTTAATACAACAATTGTAACGAAGAGATTTGAAAGGATATCGAGATATCTTAAAAGAACATGTGATTGTGGGATTATTGGAAAAGTAGATATTGAAATACTGATTGGGGGAGGGGATGTACATTAAACAGACAATCATACATCTTTACTCTGTCAAATGGGTCCAATCAGCTGGAGATTACAGAGGCAAACAATAACAAGTCATCCGCTCTCTGTTCGGCTGAAGCAAAACATATCAAGCATGCATCGCGTGTATTAGCAATTAGGTTTAAGTAGCCTTACTAATATCGCAGTGTGCAACGAGAACAAAGCAAGCGCAATTGTTATCGAAAAACGCGACCGTACAATCCACGCATATAGAATTTAAGTTTCATTTTACTAAGCGCATATAGATATTAAGTTTCATTTTATAAGAGAGATTTCGTTTCATTTGAGCTTATTATATATGTCGACGGATAGAATGCCAGAGAGCGGATGTACTTGCTAAACCTTTATCTAAGGATAAGCATTATTTTCGTTTGAACGACACGGGTATTCAAGAGATTGCGACAATTCGCGCGAAAGCGTGACGTGGCGATATATTAATTTGAAACACTATTCTTTTTTTTTTTTTTTATTATTTGAATTTGTGTGCTATAACTCTAACATTTGTTTACTCACGCGTGCGCGCGCTTTCACTGTAACACGACGAAAATAATAACAGGAAAATTCGTTGTAACGAGTTGTGATAATGTATCGAGGATAAAGTAGAAGATTAATTTCGTTCTTGACTTCGCGGAAATGATTGCATGAAGGATTGTTTGCAATTCAATCGAGTCACGATTCGAGAACTTTCTGCAACGTATGTTTCACAAATACGTGTTTACGCCAAACGCATGATTGATTTCAGTGCCAACGTGCGAGCATGACTAGTGTAAAATTAGTTGCGGATCAAGACAGCATTGCTGCAACATATAAGAATTGTATAACTCGTATTAAGAACTTTTGTTCTAGATATATAGATATCCTGCGTGTAGATATACATACTCGTATACATATTCTTACGAACTTAGAAATTAACAAGTAACACACATAAACGCGGTAAGCGCTCACGTATGTTTGTACGACAGAAAGAAAAGAAAGAACGTGAATCTTCTTCGACGAGTTGAAACTTTCGTTTGAAACAAATCTCTATACAATTTACAGACGTTTTCTCACGAGAAAATCTCGAGACTAATTCGTTGCCCAAATGATAATAGGTCGACGGAAGCCAACACGAAATTGACCGAACAACCAGGCCAGCTGGCGAACCTCCCCAAGTCCAGCACAAAGACAACCGAGACCGTGGTCCGCGAGAAAGGCCGACGACGTGTCACCAACAAGAACGTGATGATCGGCGACGGGATTTGCCAGAGCATCGATATCCGGAACAGCGCGTCCGCTTTTGGAATTCTGAAGGATTGCCGCGTGATCGAAGGCTTCCTGCAGATCGTCCTTATCGAGAATAACTCGGAGAGGGACTTCCAACCGATTAGCTTCCCGAAACTTCGCGAGATCACTGGATATCTACTTCTTTATCGCGTAAATGGATTGAAGAGCCTCAGCAATCTGTTCCCGAACCTTGAGGTGATCCGAGGGAACATCTTGCTGACAGATTACGCGTTCATGGTGTACGAGATGCAGAATTTACAAGAGGTGAGCATTACGGGAACCGGACTGGATCTTTGAAAATTTTATCAGTCCTTTCTTTTTTTTTTTTTTTTTTTTCGATCCTTTTGAAATTACCAAACGTATAAAAGTTTGATACCGAAGTGTATGAAGAAATCAAGAATTCATTCATCTTTAAAAACATACGTCTTTCGATATATTTATTTAACATATCGTTTTGAATGTTGAACCTCGTGATGGATTGAACTTTCACGAACTTTCATCTTGAAATAAACCGATCGTTTCATTGTCGATCACTCTGGCACTAAGTTTAATTAATCATCAACCTAAAGATTGACCGAAAAATGAGGCGTCTCTTTCCTTCTGTACTTGGCCTCTCAATGAGACTGAATTTCAGTGCCAAGTAACGCAACTGCGGCAAATTCTCAAGTCTCATCGTAAGCTATCACTCGATAGCAAATCCAGTTCCAAGATCGAGAGATAAAAAGCGGGCTACTCTTTGGCTTCTATTCTCCTTTCCTGCAGGTTGATGTATCGATCCCATGCTTCGAAAGCTTTTTAAAATTCATTTTCTCCAACCGTGATTCAGCTAGATTTTCTTCTACGGTGCGCGGCATCGTCGGGTTGCTTATCCTTTCTTCCCCTTCCTCCCTCGAGGTTTGATTTCACATTTGAAAATAAGAAAAAAGTCACGTGGGATTGAAAGTAGATTCGGCAAAAACTTGTTCTTAGTCTAATTGAGAAACGGGGGGTCGAATCACAACGAATCGTATTAAATTACTCCGAGCACTAACATTGAGATAATCGTAATAACTACAGCGATCAATCCTTTTAATGTTGGCGAGAAACATAATTCCAAGCGGAAAGTGCCGACTTGCTGAGATTGATTGACGTAGGTTTGAGAAAAAAAGAAATGATAGAAATTTAATTTTAAACGATAATTAGAACATTGAGTGAGAAACATGTTTGGACGGTTTTATTTTTTAAATCAGTTTTTTACTCTGCGCACCCTCTTCATCATGCATATCGGGATATTAGTCTCACCAGTGAGATGTAGAGTTCTTTTTATTTACTCCAAGTAAAAAATTAAATAAACTAATCTCTTCATTTAGAATGTTGGTACTTCGTCGTTTTTCCTTCAGCTTGTACATAGGTATCGAGTAATAAGTATAATGCACGATAAAGCTGCGATATCCCCCCTTCCTATAACCGTGAAATTCCTCTCTTGGAAGAAATTTCTCTCTCCCATATGTTCGGAAATAAGGAAATATCTCATTATATTTCGAAGCAGAAAAATAATAATCTTATGATCGCACAGGTTGCACAGCAAATGAAGACTCGTTATTGCCAAGCATAGCGATTCACGCACAATGTACGTGTATCCTAGGCATTTTTTCGCAAGTCAACGGTGATATATCGTTGTTCGGTATTAAAAGGGCCGAATGGTTGTCCGACACCGGCACCGAGATATTCCATAAAGTCCTGTTAATTTTTAATCTCGCCCGGCGTATACGATTTATAATATCCTGCCCGTTGCGGAATATTTTTCGTTTTTGGTAACTGCGGTGAAAAAGAGGTAAACGAGTGACGATCGAATAAAAGCTTTTGTTTGCGAAGCAAATATTGCCCGGCTATGGGCGAGAGAAAGGGAGAGTTCGGTTCGGTCTTGAAAAACGAGACGGTGCTAACGATTCGCGTGTTGTTTCTGAAAATAAATCAATATTCCCAGCCGGCAAATATTTACACAGAGAAATATCATTTTTTCGCGGCTTGTTCTTCATTCTTTGCTTTCGCGATCGATTGATAGTCTCCTTGTTCGAAAGCGATAGGTAAATTATTGGGAGGAGAGCAGACATGTTTCAGTAGATTTCAGTAGCTATCTCAAGATTGAGAGCGGTTATTGTAGAATAACACTCCGATATTAATATTATGTTAATATTATGATATTGATATTAATATTATGTTACAATCCTCCATTGTACTCGAATACTCGAATACTTCAAATGTTTTACTATTCGATACATTTTGTTATGCTACGAAGAAGATTATTATATTTTTATAATAATGTATCCTTATATATTAGTATTATTTTACATAATCCCCTATTGAACGAATAGAAAAAAATAAAAGTATTCTGTTAGTGGGACTTTCAGAGAATGGAACTACTTTGATATTACATTGGATGCAAATGATTTGGAGATATTGTATGCAAATGAGAATGAAAAAAATTATCGACTTATTTCAATATTTAAAAGTGCTGTATGTTTTCTCGACTGCTGACATTGATTTATTATAGAATCAGATATTATTTCTTATTATTTTCTTTCAGTTCTTTCTTATTTCTCACTATCTTTTTTTTTTTTTTTTTTTTT